AAAGTTTCAAAAACTTTCTTCAAGATTCCCTCATAGAAAAACTGGCAACAAATCTCAACTTGCCCAGGATCCCAGTGAAATACAGGCAAGCATAGCTGGAACAAGATTGATCGATTCATGAAATGTAACAAAAATGTTCACACAAGAATAATGTTGTACAGACATCAAAATAGATAGTGTACTACAGCAAGCGATTGTACTAACAGGAACCCTATATATAGCAATCCACTGAAAAATGACTTTGTAGAGGGCAAGTTGGGCATACATTTATTATATCCACAACTCTGCACCATCTTGGTTTGTGGGGCATAAGATGCATGTAGAATTTAACAAAATACAATCATCATTACCTTTGACAAGAAGGTACTATTTTTGGTTCTGCCATGGTGGAGTGCGTGGCTGTGGCCTATGTCTGAATGTATGTAGGTAGTAGGTTGACAGCACGGTGGTGAAGATTGACAGTCCAAAAGACAGATAAAAAGCTCAGAAACAGGAAACAGGGTGAACTTGAACCTTTATCTCCTTGCTTCATTTACTTCAAAAAAGAGTACTGTGCACAGCAAGCAATCATACTAACAGGAACCCTATACACAGTATAGCAAGCCACTGAAAAATGACTTTGTAGAGCGCAAGTTGGGCATACATTTATTATATCCACTACCCTGCACCATCTTGGTTTGTGGAATATGACTATGAGATGCATATAGAAACAAAATACAATCATCATTTCGACAAGATGGTATTAATAATGTTTTTGGTTCTGCCATTGTGGAGTGGCTGTAGCCTATGTGTGAATGTATGTAGGTTGTAGGTTGACAGCACGGGGGTGAAGATCGACAGGCAGAAAGAAAGATGAGAACGTCAGAAACAGGAAATGGGGTGAACTTGACGGTTAGAGAATCTGGCCAGAAACCAGCAAGATCTGTATCTGTATAGCCGGTATGTAGAAGCTCGACATATGGGGGAATTCAGAAAGCAGAGGACTGCATGTCAGTGACTATGCTCAGTTTCTGCCTAGTCATGGTGATCTGCTCCATTAATTGTTCTACTAAATTCACGAAAAATATTTCACTGGAGTCTGAAATCTCTACTTGTCTTTTACTGTTCAATTTATATTGCAAACCTTCATTTGTTGCTGCTTGGAATGCTGTACATTTCGCTACCTTACCTTATCTTACCTTTCAGTAATGACCTTTTCCTCCATACATACCAGCAGAGAAACCTCATTACTGACGATGAAACTTAGTTAACAGCACGGATTTATTTTCAAACTGATTTATCCTGCACGAAACGTCTTCAGGCCATATATTATATAGGCCGTGGGCAGGATTCAACATTTACAAAACGTAAACATTTACAAAAATAAAGATGCAAATTTTTACCATGAAAGTATGGTATCATAAATGGCCCTTTGGACTAAAAATACATTAAATTTTGTACCTATCTGTAACATATTTCTATTTTGCAATGGACATATTTAAACACCATGATGACTATTGATGCCATGGCTAATAATATTGACCTATGAAGATATTCTACATTTGCTTCATTTACTTAAAAAAACATGTAGAGATATAAAACATAATGAACACAAAGGGAAAACCGTTGAACATGTTCGTGGTGGTGGATTTAGCACCCGTTTCACGTTAAACTGTCAACTTTGGGTCAGGGATGGGGTAACGTTACATCCTGAATCCTGATGACAATGCAGAAAAATTCTTATTGACGGGAACATCCTGTCAATAGCCTTGGCCTTTTCTAAATCAATGTCTCTTCATGACCATCAATCACATTATACACCTGTAGCTTCTCTAAGTCTCTCACTGACAAGGATGCATAGATTCAATCACATCGGGAATTTGGAGATTCATTTGGACATATTTTAAAAATCTGGTTTTAGATTCTGATGCTGAAGTCATCACTTGCCGGTGACACTGATTGAGATTTAGGGCATGACCCAGGAAATAAAGGACAACAAAAGCTGTCAATCACAATAAGTAGTGCTCTAGCTTAACCATTAAGTTTGAGCACAGGACTGCTAGGAACATAATTTCGAATGTTGTAATCAGAAGAGTTCTAATACAAAATTGACTGATGATCATAATGATGATGAACACAAGAATCAAAAAGATAAGAAAGATAATCAACCAGTAATCAAATTGTTATTATGTCCTGGAATCCAGGACATTTCCTCTCCTATACCTTTCGTTTTGAATTTATGTTATCCAAATCTATAATCATCAAATAGATCATAATAAGTTCATTGCAGGTTCCTACACGAAGGCTGATGGCAAGTATTTAGCGGAAAAGCCATTGTATGTAAGAAAGCATCCGATGTTTTAGGAATAATTTTACCTATAACATGTGTAGCACGTAGGGTTATATGACGTTACCTGACGTCTAAACCTCCCACATGTAATTGCTGTTGATTGCAAACGTTGTCTACTATCGTGAGAGCTGAGTGACCCAAAATCATCTAGGCGAATTATTCAGTTTGTGGCCCTGATGTTTAATCCAATTTTCGAGACGCCAGCCATTATATGTAAACAGACCCCTTGACCATGACACCCAGATTGTGTTGATAATAGTGCAAATTCTTCCTATTTAGAAAAAAATAAGAATGTGCAAGTATAACAGCATTAAGGTGGTGTTGCATGTACTAAAACATGTCTATGTTGATTGTAACCTTATATTCGCGCGTTGATTGTGCAATATAATGTTTACATTCGTGGAATGTATAATTTAGGTGCCTGGCACTGTCATTTCCGAAAACACCCGCGATCTCCTGCGGATTTCAACAGGGAAAAAAGAGTCATCTCACCTGCAAATCACGTCTCTTCTCCTCGGAATATCGGGACGCTTGTCTTGGGGTCGTTAAATGGCCAATATGTCGGTTTTGCGGGGCGTCCGGGGGCCAGAATCGGGGTAGAAGCGCCGAGTGGTCAGCCTCTGCAGCTCAGGCGGCCATGTTGGGAATGTGCAGGAGAAACAACAAATCCCGACATGCTGTGCGAGGACAAAGTCCTGTTACACAGGTAAGTCAACAGGTGGGTAAACAGGTGGACATCAGCAGGCCGCGCGGCAGTCTCTATTAAAAACGGTCCAGTACATGTCCACCAAAGGGTCTGGCTCCGCAGATAACTATTTCAAAATATAACAGTTAGATGGGGAAGTCGATCTGCACATTTTTTTTTTATTTTGCCCATTTGGATATTTGCTTCACAACGCCCATTTACCAAACACTTGAGAATATAAGATTTTCTCTATTCTAAACGGTTGTTTTACACATTTTCTTGCGCTATAAGCCTACCTGGATTCATTAAGACATTTGGGGAGTAAAAGATCAATGCGCCGCAAAAACGTGTTGGAAGCTGCCGAAGATCCGAACGAAAACAGCTGTTTACATTATTTTTAGGATCCTCCTAAAATACAGCACAGCGGGCCTGGCGCAACTTTCTCGCGCTGCGCTGAGTCGCCGGAAAAGCGAAATAGCGATGCTAATGCTGAAAGTAATTGGAAATGACAATCTAGATGAGAAATTTTCAATTATTTATATTTACAGTTTTGGCGCAAAAATCTTACATAATATCGCTTTAAAGTGAATTAATAAGTTACTGGTAGCTGAGGATCCATTGCAAAAGCACCGTCGACAAAATGCACAAATGTGTTATCGATCCACTTTTACCTTAAGAAGTAGACTTTGAATAATGCAAATTTGGGGAAAGAATTCCACGGTACCTCGGATTTTCAATACCTGCGTAACGTGGTATACTCTCCAAACATTGGGTTGGCGTAAAAATATATACCAGTGCAAAAAAGAAAGCCCAATAAAAAAGCCCCCAAAACACGCCAAAAATAAGTCAAAACCTAAACCTCTGCTAGAAGAGTAATCATACAAAGCAATTGTTCATTATGTTCGGTTGTGCATGACTATGACTATGTTGCCTGAAATCAGACTTTTTAACAGTCGGCGTTTGCACAGGAGGATAACCCTAACCAGGAAACATGATCGAATGCTCCACGATGTAACCTCTTCTTGTTGGCTTTTAGATCGTGTACACGTATGTAGCTTAATTGTAGAAAGTCCAATAACTATACACTCAATACAAACCTTTCAAGCTCGGGCCCACTTCGATCTAAGTCTGCTAAATGAAGCTACGAGATGCAATTAGCAGACCCTACCAAGGATTCCGCGTACCTTAACACGAGAAATCCGAGGCCTACTGAAGCACCGTAATCTTTCAAAGCGAATAATAAGATCGCCGTGCTTCGAAAATATTTTATGGAATTTAGCCCCCAGCAGCTAGAGAAGGTTTTGATTGCTTTCGCTTATGGACGTACACATGCCATCAGCCCACTCGTTCTAACGCCTACACCAAATGACGCAGACCGTTTGGACGTTTTGTATACCATGATTATTTGTAAAATACGTCTCTGGAGATGTAATTGTGAGGGCTATCTGCTCACGAACAATTCTCTTTGCATTCAATGAAAAGAAGCAGTACTAGACTAGTATTCTGCATCATTTGTATTTCTCAAGTTGAACATATCAAAGGATTTGTAACGGATACTAGTTTTGATCATTTTCCCTGCTGACGTGCTAGTATTATAGCTTGGACTCCATTCGGCCTGTGGCTACTTTGATGTTCCCCGAAATTCTATGGCTTTCACTTTGATCGTTTCGAGCTATATCGTTCTTGAAAGGGGTCTGCCAGACGTAATATACGAGGGTTTACCAGATTCGCTCTTGTATTGCTGTCTCTGACCGATTATGACCTCACTCTTATGTCCTACTCCGTTTTTCTTTCCATAGGGTAACTGTAGGGCATCGATCTGTGATCTTTTCGGTGGTACTTTAGGTCTTGGCTTGAGGATTATGTTGTTTACATGTTTTTATCCGCATATATGTTCAGACCCAATGGTCATTCAGATAATTTTTTAATGGTGTCCTACTGAGGTTAGTTTTGTAGACTGAATCCTTACACGTTAGAAGGAACGTACAGCCTACTTGATTAACCTATAATCATTTATCATGGACGCTTTAATTCTTTCAACTCAGGTATTTATTAGAAAGAAGTTGAATCATCGAGAACACTCATGCAAACTTGAGTTCGTGTGAATACAACGGGAACCGTGATTTTTATCTGCGAACATGTAAAACCAACTGACCACATGAGCAATACTCCTCCTTCTCGGAGTTACAATATCTGTTCGATCGTCTTGAGTTCAATTAATTTGAATAACTAATGCTGACAACGACCTCATTGTTTCTGCCGTAATAAGAAAACACGTTTAGATGAGAATGGTAACGTTTATAGGTATGGTTCGCACTGATAGATTAGGTTTGCTATCGCCGTCTAGCAGATCACTCCTGCACTGCAATTGCTTGGCGCCAGCTCTACCTGTCAAGTCGAGAATTATAAAAATATTAGCGTTGACATTGTCGATGATTGAACTGTAGGAAAATGTAAATTTAATCCCAATTACTCTCCCAGAACTACTAGTACAGTTTGTATTACTATTCCTTTGATATATATAATTTGGACAAACCGATTCAACTGGAGATACAATTTTCGTTGATATGTGGCTAGAGAACGGAGCAGTTTCTTAGCTTTTCTAGGAGAGATATGTATTTGGCGAAGGTGGCCCGACACAGCTCTTCACCCGATACAACCCTCCACCATATATACATCTCTCCCCCTGAAAAGATTCTGCTGCGCTACTCTAGTCAGTGATCGCCCTAATAAAATCTTCACCTGGTCTAGTCCGACGAATTGCTGCACTGTTTAAAGTCAAATACATTGTACATTCATATGTATGGCCTCTCCAACTCTGTCCTGCTACACGATGTAACCCAACACCGATGTTGTTGCTACAGTACTAGTTACCATGGTGACAGGCGCGTCCTCCATGTCATTAACCTTATCAAGTTGTTTAGAGGGAGAGGAAGAAGAAGAAACTGAGCAAAAACAATATGTTTTCCTTCTGCGAAGGTAAACGGAATTAACGCTAGCCGCTAGTAAGTCAACACAGGAGGCTAATCATCCCTTCCTCTAACGGATGAGGATGGTGTAGCGCCAGTTGCTGCCAGCATCCCGGATGTCGGCGGTATTTCCGGTCAGACAGCAGGAGCTGGTGTACCAGTTCGCCCAGTGGCCGTGAGGAGACGTGTTCAGGTCGTAACCCCACGTGATCTGTTGGGTCGACCAGCCGAGACCCACGTGAGGGTAGGTCGGGTCATTTCCAGTCTAAAGGAGCAAAAAAAAAAACAAGGCTGGCAACAAAAATTACGGTCATGGCGACGGTTTTAATCTATTATTCGTCTGTATATGATGATAGATTTGTTATGTGATATGTTTATGGTTTTGGTTCGATATAAGATTCCAATACACTATACAATATGATATTACAATTCACTGTCCTCATAAATTATGCAAATTAGAACCTGATTTGCATTATGTACATCTAGCAAGAGTTTCAGGGCGGGCTTCATATTTTCGCCAAATGACACTAGCCATTACAAGTGACGCATTGTAAAGGTTGCACATTGATAATGCAAATAAGGTCCTCATTTGCATAAATCATATCAGTTGAAGAACTTCTCTAATGACGACAGGATCACCTTGATCTCCTTCTTCTCCTTCGTGACGCTGCTGGTCATGGTGGCCACCACCTTGTTGTCCCCACAGAAGCCGTCGATGTAACAGTGTCCCTTCAGGCCCAGGTCGTCACGGTAGTAGCCGTAGTGAGACACCACATCAGCTGAGGACTTGGCCCAGCCGTACACAACCTGGGGACAACATCGATGCGTTGTTTGTTTGTTTGTATCTTTGTTTGCTGATGATTATGACAAGATATTGTTCAGTGATAATTTCCGTTCGGGTCCAGCCGGATCAGAATGCTTTCTAAAACTACCGATTGAATTTTGCAATATGTGTTCCACCAACACAGAGGAGTTCTAATTCTAATGCCTATTAGATTAGCTTGAAAAGTGTTATTCTCACGGCTGTCTTTTGAGAGAAAGTAAGATGTTTGTAACTTTGCGCAGAAGGTAAAAGTAAGATATCCGATGAAAGTGACAACAACTTAGGTATAGACCATGGCAGTGAATGGCCGTTACCTCGTGGTACATTCCTAAGTCCAGACCCTGGGTGTAAATAGCGCTACTAGTGGTGTTGGAGAGAACTGCCTGGATAGGGCCGTTCCTGTGCATATTAAAACAAATTTTATTTCCTCGGCAAAGAAAACTATATTCTTAGTACAGCGTGTAATTACTTCCGTTTCCTGGAGTTTTGTTTTTCGGTGCGTCCGTAGTATACAGTAGTCCCACGCACTGTCTATAACTGTTAAGGTATACGAGGTTCATTGAGGAAAAACTCTCTTTTATCTGCCCACCCAAGGGTGGCAGCTATTCTTCCAGGAGCGATACATACGATACTCGATTAAGTTTCCAATGTTGATTCAGCGAAGACGTATTAGCTTTGAAATTAAATAATCCATGCTGTGGTGAGGTGAAAGTATTTTGACGATCTTACGTTAACTCAGCCACATCGTATTTGCATATCTCGTTACCTGGTTATGATGTCATACATCTCGGCAGCCTGGTCTGTGGAGGCTCCCTTGGCCATCATGTTGAAGATCCTCAGCCAGCCGCCATCCTGGAAGCCCATTTCACACCAAACCTGTCAAAACAAGTTCACGAATATGTTGTGACCTGTTCTTATCCGGTTCACACTACGTGACGGATTATCGTTCACACTACGTGACGGATTATTGTACCGAAGAAACATTTGAACGTACCGATTCTAGGTTGTCAAGGTATAAAACAAAGCAAGACTGATCCCTCCAATTTCAATAAATCAAAATCAAAGCAAAGCAAAGCAAATCCCATAGCCGTGACCACCGTTAAACCGTAGAAGTGCAAAATAAAAACGTGAAAATGCAAATACAATAAGACGAACATGTAGCCATTGTCTCATTGGTCGATCCGCTAATTGCCATTCTCTCATTGGCTGAACTACTAATTGGTAAAATTGGCATGGTATTTCGTGTCGCACCTGGACTGCCCCCTCGTCCCGTGCGGAGAGCCGTACCCAGTACAGCCCGCTTGTGTAGGAGCCAGACAGGAAGATCTCGCGGCATGACATAGCTGGGTTTTCCTCAGACTCTCCTCTCCTTGAGACGTCCCCTAATGTGATATAGACATAGACCTTCAGTACCAACTTCATCATAATTGCCAATAATGAATATCTTTCTGAATTTAGAACCACCTGTCAAAGGAAGGGATCTTGCCAAGACATGTCAGCTTAGCGACCAAAACAATAACGTGAATGTTATGTGAAGCCTACAGTGATTGCATGCCAGGTCTGAGCCCCAACCAAGGTTTAACATGCCCATGCTTGTACAACAATCTTACGCGCCTTTGTCAACAAAAGATGTGACCAAAAATTTGGCAGATCGATATCGCTTCCATACGTAAAGAACATCTTTCACAGCTTGTGTGTTTCGTTGTTAAATCATATTTAGGTATCGTATCGTATTACCATTATGAAATAAAGATCACAAATCCACATTTTGTCACTCAACGGTCGCTCGGTGATCATGGTCTAGTGAAGCTTACCTGAGACACGATCGGAAAGTTCTTGAAGCCTTGCTTTGAGCTCATCCAGCTCGTTCTTCCCCACACAGTTCCCACTGTGAAAGACGAAGTTGCCGGTGATGCTGCAGCCCTGGGCGTCTGGTGCTGGGTCGGGGGAGCCGCCACAAGTTGTGGACGAGGTGCCCGCGTCTTCAGCGACTGTTAGACGTAAGATAACACACAGTGAGAAAAGTGCTAGAAGTTTGAGAGACGACATGGTTGACAACCTCGAGCTCACCAAAGGGTACGGTTATTTTTACGATTAATATGGAGATTTCTGTAGTCCAGGTTTGCAAGAAGACGTTCAGTGACCTAAATAAACCTTCACTTTAAACGGAGACGTGTAAGTAAGCACGTAAGCCCTGGCTTAGCCCAAGGACTTAGCCTGATCATAATTCACTATAATCTTTAAGCAGATCTTTCGGTATCCAAGACAGCAGCCAAGTAGCTTGTTGGATACATTCTGACCAATTTGACACTATCTTGGCTAGCGAAAGATCTCCTTGGATTTCTACAGCCCACTTATCGAAAAAAATGGATTTACTAATGGTAATAAATGCCAGGAAAGATGTGAAACAATTGGAATTGACTTTTATTTACTACAATTATAAAGTCCTGTGATGTTGACAAAGTATACATCAAGGGACTTGACTTGTATTTACCTTTATTGTAAATCTGGCACTAGTACTGTTTACAAGGTATAAACACATCAATTGACTTTACCGACGTCACATTTACTGTTATTACCTCCATGAAATGTGTCATGGAGGTTATATTTTCAGTTGCGTTTATCTGTCCGTCTGTCCGTCTGTTGGTCAACAAGATAACTCAAGAACGCCTGGATGGATTGGTTTCATACTTGGTGTGTTGGTAGGGTGTGACAAAAACTGGAAATGATTAGATTTTGGTCCCCCTAGTGGCTTCCCTTGGTACTGCAGCGCAACTTCCGGTTTTGATATCTCGCGATCTGGACATGCTAGGGTCATGAAATTTGGATGATAGGTAGCTCTCGTGCTTGGGAAGAAGTCACATGAGTTTGGGCCCCCTAGCGGCTTGTTCTGGAACTGCAGGATGGTTTCTTTAAAAATATTCGAGAGAGGATAACTGAACAACTGTTTGATGGATCGTCATGATTTTTGGTATGTAGGTAGCTGAAATGATGCTTGACATGATTAAAATGCAATTATGCAAATCAGGATCTAATTTTCATAATTAATGAGGAAATTCTATAAATCTGCTGTATTCCATATTAGGGCTATGAAACACTTTAGACATATGTAATTGAGAACAACAAGATCATTGGTAGATATTGATTATGTAAATGAAGACCTAATTTGCATAATTAATGGCAAATTGGTACAATTTTATGGTGGTAACTGCTGTGAATTTAATACTTGCCATACTTGGAAGTTCAATTAAGGCGAACATCACTAAACATAATTTATTCAAATCAGGACCTCATTTGCATAATTTATGAGGAAACGCTAGATTAGCCTTATTTCTTAAGATAACCCTGTCATTGGGCGGAGAATATGATCAAATGATATAATATATGCAATTGGGCTCTTATAATTTGCATATTGGCAGTAAAAAAATGTATAATTCGTCAGCTTGGATGGCAAACATGAGTTGGCAAAGGTATGTCAGAGGTCATACTTGCATATAACCAACAATATCATACGTTGTCCATGTTAAATGGTAAGGATTTCACCAGTGTGTAGGTAGGGGCTATGTGAATAATTTGTATAAAAATTTTGCTAATGAGCAGGATTGTAAATGTAAGCCATTTATGTGATCATCACTATGCATAAGCTTTACGAAAGCACTAAACATGTCATGGAGGTATGAGATTGTCGAACTCTAGTTCGTAAATCCAACTTTTTATGCAGTGGGGCTAGCCTATAGAGGTGTTTTATCGGTCTAAGCCCCAAAAAGTCATTTTTTTCTCCCATAATACATGGTCAATCTCTACTATTCTGCAGCAAGTTATTGCCTTCGACGAGAAGGCTATGAAATCGTTTTGGCACTGTTTGGCAGATTATGCACGACAAATTTTGAAGGAGGTTTTTGGCAGGCAGGTTGTCTTAGTGATGGGCATTGTCAAGGCCAAAAATGGGCTTCGTGGGGGGTTCTTACGTGACTGGAGCTGACCTTTTGTGTTTGCGTTTTTTGTTGTACTCCAGACAAATCGGGAATTATTAAATGGTTGTCTATGATTTTTAGTTGGCAAGTTACCGTTGAGAATACGAAGGTCAAGTTCTGATGAAATGGGCCTCGTGGGGGTTCCCACGTCATTGAATTTGACCTTTTGTGTTGGTCGTTATTGTTGTTAGCAGGGTAATTCATGAAGTCAAATGGATGTTCACGATTTTTTGTGAGCAAGATGCCGTTGACGATAGGAAGATCAAGTTCGGAAATGGTCGTCGTGGGTGGTCCGTACTGTAGTGGGCTTTTGGTGATTGAACATTTTAAGGGCAGGCGAAGTCTTGGTCAGGTTTTGTATCTAGGTTAAAGCAACAAGTTACAGACAGGAACCTGTCAACAGTGGCTTTCTTCCGAAAACATTTTCTTTGAATGGTTGTTTGTTGAAACAACATTCCCAAGCAGGGGCGTGCTTAACGATTGCTAATGTGACAGCACTGTGGCCCCCAGTGTAAACATCTGGAATGTGTTTTAATTGGGTATACTGTACACGATGGCCAGGTCCAGGCATCGTGTATCGCTGGAAAATAGTAGAAAATGGCCAAAATAAAGGGAATAGTATGCCGCTAAAGGGAGTTAGCCCGCTAGAGAGATACAATTTGCGACTCACGGGAGGAACCTATTTATCTTACATACCACATACCATCACAACAATTGGCCATTTTGTGTGAACATTTTGTAGTGCAATTGTTTTCAACGTATATTGGACATTGCACGCTTCAACAACGCTGGCTGTATAGAAGAATAATTTAGTTGAAGGAGTTTTTGCCGGCCGTTTTTTTAAGTTTGGATCGCCGCGCATCGGAGGGAAGAAAACAACCTTTCGCGGCCAGACTCCCAGGCCAATTTTCGTAGAAAGACATGGTACAGGCTTGGGAAATAGTATGTTGCTTCGTTCACAAAGGACTCTCTGACCACTATAACTACGCTTTTACAGAATTTTCACATTAATAATGCAAATTAGGTTATCATTTACATAATAGGTACCTGTTGATGTTCCACCTGCCACAGATGAAATAGATTACATGTATAAAAGTACTATTATATAAAACACTGTAATTATAGACTTTCCTCCTAAATAATGCAAATTAAGTCCTCATTTGCATAATTTGCATTTAATTATGTACAACTCTCTCTCAGCTACCTACACACCAAAAATGATGAAAATATGTTCCCATTTGGACTTATTGGCTTTTAAAGATTTCGCCAGAAAGTCCCCTGCACTTCCAGAACAAGCTGCTAGGGGGACCAAACTCACACCACATATTCCTGACAGAAAATGCTATACCTCCAAAAACAATACCTCCATTTTTCATGGAGGTAATTACAGAATATGTACAGGTCGGACCGTCCTGTCGTTTTGGCACGGAAGCGACCAGAGAGCGTTTTAAAGGTGACCAACCCTCCCACCTGCCGGCCTCTCCACACTCCTGTCAATCATCCTGGCCAACAGGCTTGTCTCACCTTTCTCGTTCCCAGAGCACTCGTTCAGAAGAAGACCCAGCACGAGGCAAAGGTTGACAATAGAAAACGCCATCTTACCAACTCAGATAGAACTGCAGAAGACGACAGAAAATGGTTGGTCTAAGCTAGCCTAGGTTATCGGCAACTTTTCAATTCAAGAAAACCATTAAATTTTTTTTTGCTGGCGATGACATATTTTTATTAAGTTAAAGAAATATTACATATAAATACATAAAAAGAAAAACCTTGTGGCAAGCCCCCTAAAGCAAATATAATAATACATACATGGGGTGTGACAGGTTACAAAGAATGTTCGTCTCGAATATTATCAAAATAAGAATAGTGTATTACAGAAATAAGGCTTGTTATTCGATGATACACTCTTAAAGATATTTTGCATATAATAAACATTGATTCAAGTGTCTATTCTTTTACTGCTTTTTCAATTTTACCATACATTATATCCGTTTTCGTTAGTGCAATATGTTCTGAAAAGGTGTCAAGCCACCAGGAGCAAAAGTCCTTCCAATAAGTAGTGACGTAACAACAATCTACAAACAAGTGGTTTAGGTTTAGTTTTTTGTTAAAAAATGGGAATTTGTCTGAGTCTGTAACTTTAATTTTCTTAAGATAGCAACTTGTCGGCAAAAACCTTTGTATTATCTCATACTGAAAATACTGTAGTTTTTAAACATTCTTAGTGCATATGAAAGCCAATGAGTACACATTTTTCAAGTTGTCTTCATGTTCAAAAGTTTTTGACGGTTCGTCATGACCCGGTGTGAGTTCAAACGTTTGTTTTAAATATGTCATAAATATGTCATACAACTGTTTTCAAGAAAAAGTCTGTGAAGCGATGGTTTCTCCCACCGAATCACCAAGCTGATCTTTCTTTACTGCATTTTTTTCCAAACATTAGGGATAGCTGATTTCAGGCTAGGATATCTAAGCATATCCACAGGTGTAAAGTACTAAAGGTTATTTCATATTTCTGAGCCAGCTCACCTAATGTCAGGAAGTTACCATCGCTTGACATAACATAAAATATTTTCACAATACCAGCTTGACACCACCGGCTGTGCATTACAGATTTCCCGCCTACTAATAAAAAAAGAATGCCATGCAAAGTCTAACCCAAGTCAATGTTCTATTCAGTCTGCTGGTCCTATCACGTTAGAGGTAGAAAAAGATATGTTCGCTCTTTTAGCAGTTGGTGCTTTTGACCAGTATGCAATCCTTGTAAAACGAATGAAAAGATCAGTGTGGAATTTACGTAGGCCTTTCTTCGCTTTCGCACTGCCGGTAATAGTCAAGAAATAACATTAGATTCCAACCAAATTATTCGGTACCAAATTCTGAGAGGAACTCTATAGGCCTTACCTTGTGATACGCTGTCTTCACTATCAAAATGACTGGTAGACACGCAATGCCTATATGACTCCGTATTTATACCTTCACTAAAGCCGCAGAAAAACAAAGTACTCTATAAACGACAGATGGTAACCTTTGCTTCCGACGCGTTAGCGCGGTTTCAATGGATACAAAGGAAGTTTTCAAAAATTAAACAAAAAAAAACACTTCATTCAAAGGACAGTTGCCAAGTTTCTAATTAAAAAATACGAGAACTGATTAAAT